GAGCGACGGCCCGGCTTCATCGGCTCGGCGTCGCCAGACCGCTGCGGCGAGGGACGGCCCAGGCGCCAATGGACGGCCCGGCCGTCAGACATCGCTGCCCGTCATGCATGCCTTACCGCTGCCTGCCGTCGCGGCATGCGCCGTGCTCACATGTGTGACAGATTAAGTCAGGGCTCTGCCAGCCTCAGGTAGTGCCGAAGTACCCATCTCGTAATGCGGGAAAAAATGAATGGTCACGGATACTCCTAATCAACGCCATGCAGGCAGGGCCATTCAGGCATTTGTTTCACATTCGCATTCCTAAAATAATTCGACGGAGGTCAGTAAAGCCCAGCTCTTGGCTAGTCTACGCTTTGACATGCTCCAGAGGTGGAGGCACGTGCTAATCGTCTCTGGAATTGTATATGCACCAGATCGTCCCGGGTAATCAACCACCCACTCCTTACTCGCAATATGACCGTTCATGCTGGTGCCCGGCCAGTGGCTGAGCAACCGCTTCCAGCACGAGAAAACTGACTCATAGCGCAGAATAGTGTTATACATTTGAAGCCTCATGATCGAAGGAGCGTATTAGGTCAAAGTTCCTAGCAAGAAGGTTCTTGTCGGCATCACCATTCACCATGATTCAAGGCTTTTCCTGCCGTTATTTCTGGGTGTGTGTTGGTTGGGGCAGAGCGGGGAGGGGGGAGGGGGGGGGGGGGGCGTTTCCCGACATCGTCCCAATAAAGCCTCCCAATATCACAGCTGCTCGACCTGTAGTTGGTTTAATAACCTTCCCAATACCTTTGTGTTGTTACGGTTGATGGGCATATCTTCTCACACATGGATACAATGGTTGAGGACGCTCTATCGGGTCCACGTTTAGATCAGGCACGGAAGCATCCAGCACGATCTTTTGTATTGCACATCATAAGCAAACGCCTCTGATTGCTGGACGTGGCTCCGAAGGCTGGACGTGGCAAAACGTGGCTGTCCGACCTTCATGTAAACCCAAATGCATTGCGTGACCACAAACCCAATTTCCGAAAACATCAATGTTATCGAGAACCTGTGGCGAGAAAGCCCTCCAACATCCGTGTCGTCAACACAGGCTCTTTTGCTGCACAGGATAGGCATGTTGTTCGACCTTCTGCACGGACACCGGGTCCGCGCGTGGGAGGACCCTGGACCCTGGGCACCGGACCGATGAACGGTGCAGGGCTGTGTGTCGGACTGGTGTACAGCGGGAGGCTGGCGCGAGCACGAGGCAGGACGTCAGGACGGTACCGGTGATGATGGGCAGGTTCTCGGCGGGCGTGGCCGGCGCCACGAACGACAGCTGCTGACCAGCCGACGACCTGCCGACGTCAGCACAGTCAGCGGTCACCACGGCCTGACGGTCTGACAGACACCGGTCACCACGGCCTAACGGTCTGACAGTCACCGTTCACCACAGGCTCACCGTCTGACAGTCGCCGGTCACCACGGCCTAACGGTCTGACAGACACCGGTCACCACGGCCTGACGGTCTGACAGTCACCGGCGACCACGGCCTCACCGTCTGACAGTCACCGTTCACCACAGGCTCACCGTCTGACAGTCACCGGTCACCATGGCTTCACGGTCTGACGGTCACCGTTCACCACAGCCTCACGGTCTGAGAGACACCGGTCACCACGGCCTCACGGCCTGACACAGTCACCGGTCGCCGCGGCCTCACGGTCTGAGAGACACCGGTCACCACGGCCTAACGGTCTGACAGTCACCGGTCACCATGGCTTCACGGACTGACGGTCACCGGTCACCACTGCCTCACGGTCTGACAGTCACCGGTCACCACGGCCTCAGGCTCTGACACAATCACCGGCCACCACGGCCTCGCCGTCTCGACCGGCCCTTTTTCCAGGTATGTTGCACCGGTGGCGTTGAACACGCTGGGGTCGGGCGCACAGGAGCAGCGCCGGCCGCCAGTCAGACCTCGAAAGCGGACGCCGCCAGCAGACGGGTGACGCCGGTCGAGCTGGCCGCCGATACAGACGTCAACAACCTCCAACACTGACCGGCTTGGCTCACCTGGTTTATGGTTGGGGCCCTCGAAAGTAATATCCAAGAATGTGACATACGGCGCAGCTGTGATGATGCGCAAGGTAACCACGAAATGCATGCACATCGTAGCACTTGCTCGGGCAGGGGTCAATCTGACCCCCTAAAGGTTTTTTCCAGCAAAAAAAAAAAAATCAAAAGGCGTCGCATAGCCGCACCAAACTTTGTGTAGCCGTAGACAGTAAAAAACGATTTTTTGGCCTGAAAATTAGATTTAGTTTCTAAGGCCGCTGACCTATCGTATCAAAGTCAGGCTGTGGCTGTCAGCGAAAGCAATTCCTAGGAATTGTTCAGTCTGATGCGACAGCGGAGGGCTGGACGAAGCCATACTCAGATATCTCAGAAAGTTTCTTAGACTAACTAATTTAGATTGACCTTGGGTCAGGGATAACGGTCAGACAAATGTCAAAACCAGCCTGTCTTTTTAGTTTGCTTTATGTGGTAGTTTCTAGTGTTCATTTCGACTTCCTTGATAACAGGGACCGCAACAGATATCTTGCATGGGCTTCTTAAAGGTCAGAGAAGGTCGCTAACCTAGAATGGCCCAAATCAATATTACTAATGATCTAACGACAAAATCAAAATACAATTTGCAGTGGTTTGGTCACTGTGACCACTTACAGGTCAACAAGATCACTGAGCTAAAATGAACAGCAGCGACTTTTTGCTCAGAAGCACTTGGGAAACAATGGAATTTTGCTTTATTTAACTTTATTCGACCTGAAAGTCGTGGCCTAGGAACCTCAAATTTGGACATGAGTGATTAGCATACAAGCGAACCAACCCTGTGAATCTGGCGTTACTAGGTTCCTTGTTTTAGACACCACGGGGGTTAAACTGACCCCCCACATTTGAGCGTATGGTATTCTACCGGCCGCCCGGGGGCGTGTTTAGACTGCACCAATAGCATTACTGCATCAAAGCATGCTATGGTCGACGGTACATCCCAGCCCGATGACCGCTGGACCGTAGCATCTGTTATAGTCCGATGGTACATCCCAGCCCGATGACCGCTGGACCGTAGCATCTGTTATAGTCCGATGGTACATCCCAGCCCGATGACCGCTGGACCGCAACGTCTGTTGCGAATACGGCTGCCCGAGCGGCCCCGCTGAGCGGGCGGCCGGGTGGGGGGCAGGCGTTTACCTGGCGCTGGGCAGGTCGGAGGAGGAGAGGAGCGAGCCGGTGCCGCTGGCCGTGGCCGTGCGGTCCCGCTGCACCTCCGGCTCCGGCTGCCGCTCCTCGGGCTCCTCCTGCCGGCCGCACCGCTCCGTTAGTCACGTCTGGTTAGTAGAGCCGCACCCGGCCGCCCACCGTAAACCCGGCCCCATGGTGGCTAACACCACTCCCAGCGCTGGGCTGGCACGACAGAGACTCGTCGGCGGTGGCCTGGTGTCAGCGGTGCGGTGTCAGCACGTCGTGTCGGGCGTGCTGGGATCGCTGTCGCCACCGCCGCCAGGTCGGCCGGCGACAGACCAGAGCTCATGCCGCCCACGCCGGCCCCGAGGGATCCTGCGGCCCAGCTCCGGAGCGCCGCATCTGCCTCGCTGCCCCGGGAGGGCAGCAGACAGGCGGCAGCCATGTGCCGGGTTGACGTGGCGGAGGTGCCGTGCGGTGCGCGCTGACCTGGCGGAGGTGCCGTGCGGTGTGGGCTGATCTGGCGGAGGCACGGTGTGGTGCCGGCCTGACCTGGCGGAGGTGCCATGCAGCACGGGCTGACCTGGCGGAGGTACGATGTGGTGCGCGGGCTGACCTGGCAGAGGTGCCATGCGGTGCCGGGCTAACCTGGCGGAGGTGCCGTGCGGTGTGGGCTGATCTGGCGGAGGCACGGTGTGATGCCGGGCTGCCCTGGCGGAGGTGCCATGCAGCACGGGCTGACCTGGCGCCGCCGGTCGGTGGACCAGGGCCAGTTGGGCTGCGACTGGAGCCGGCAGTGCCTGGCGTGTAGCCGCTCCAGCGGGCCGGCCAGCCGCCGACCAGCCTCCTGCAGCAACTGAGCGGCCGGCGCCAGCCGCACACTGGCCGGTGCCGCGTTGTCCTCCGTGGCCGACTGGAACCGGCCGCCGCAGGTCAGCCCCACACCCGCCGATCCCTCAGACGACACAGTATCTGACCGGGTCTATTGATAACACTAGGCCGACGTGGCAACATCCGTAAGATAGCAACCATATGCTCAGAATTTCACGTGATATTCTTGAGCTGTCTATAAGTAAGAAGTAAACTTGCGTAGGGGACAGGCATGGACAACCTTGCCGAGCTTGACTATGCATCCACGACATTGCTTATGCCCTCGCAAGTTTATGACTTTCCATGATGTGCCAATTCGAGCTTACAGGGAACGCTCGAAACACGCATGGCGTTAAATCGCTGGTTCCCAGGAGCGCCGCCACACCACACAAGCCTCGCGGAGACCCGGGACAGGTGGGCACGAGACAGAGCGGCAGCAGCAGCCGGGCGACGCGCCAGCCCCCAGGCAGAGCCCACACAGCCAGCCCACTGACCATGGCGCGTAGCGTGTCCGTTGAGCCCTCCTGCATGCGCTGGCGCACCCAGTCCCGGTCCACCTGGGTGTGCACGTCGATGGCCAAGCGGCGGCGGCGGCGGCCCAGCCGGGCGGCCGGCGCCGACGGTGGCGGCTCGGAAGGCAGCTCCAGCGACGAGCGCGGCTGGCGCTGCTGCGGCACGGCACAGCGGCGGTACCGTCATATGGTCAACTGTACCACGGCACAGCGTCGGTATCGTCATATAGTCAGCTGTACCACGGCACAGGGTCGGTATCGTCACACGGCCAGCTGTATCGTGGCACAGCGTCGGTACCGTGACACCACACACCATCACTACCGTCATATGGTCAGCTGTACCGCACTACCGTCATATGGTCAGCTGTACCGCGGCACAGCGTCGGTACCGTCACACGGTCAGCTGTACCGTGGCACAGCGTCGGTACTGTGACACCGCACACCGTCACCACTGTCATACGGTCAACTGTACCACGGCGTTCATAAAGTCCAGAAAACGTCCAAATCCGTGCCCACTGGGGGCGTTCATAAGGTCCAGGGACGCAACATCCAGAGTCGCAAAGTCCAGAGTCTTTAAGTCCAGTGTTCAAATCGTCCAGTATCCATGGCAACCAGGCTAGTTTGGATTCCTGCCGCTAGATAACACTACAGAGGTATCTTTGAGTCTTGCCGCTATTTCACTCTTTTGTCAACAGACGGTACAGTCAACCTGGCATTCCACTGATGATCACGCGATGCATAGTCAAGTATGGTTACTATAAATTACCTAGGCGCCTGGCGGCCATGCCCTGCCTGGGCGTGGCAGCGCCCCGGGGCCCACCGGCGGACTGGGCGTAGACACGCCAGACGGCGGCGAGGTCGGAGATATGTCGGGCGGCGCGAGCTCGGCAGGGACCGCTGCGCCCGCGGGGTAGGCGGGCTCTCCCGCCCCGCCGCTGCTGCCTGGGCCCCAAATGTCGGGGTACACTCGGCTGCTCAGGGGCCCTTCATTTTGGTATCGGGTTCCTTCCACTTGCCTGGAGGAACCCGTGCTGTTGCTGGGCCCCATATAAGGTAACGTCCCGAGGCACTCCATGCTCAGGAGTCCTCTTTATTGACCTATGGCTCTTTCTCTTTTTGAGCTTATTTGCTGAAGACCCTTCACTTCACTTGTCAGAGCTCTCCCAGTTTATCTGTCCGGGCATTCTTGATCGCATAGAGGCGTTAACTGATGTACACTGATCTTCGGTTATTGCCCTTTGTTCAGAGGATCCTGTACTCCGGCCGGACCCTATATGTTAGCCTGCCGGGGTGCTCCCGATCGTTCAAGGGTCCCACCATATTGGTGCAAGGTTCTTCTCGCTTGTTATGATGACCATTCACTGTTCAGTGGAGCCTCTTTTTTTGGCCTGCCACGGCAGTTTCGATTGCCCAGGTGCCGCCATTATTAGTCTCGGGTATTTCCATATTATAGGAGGGCCCACGCCGTTCGCGGGGACGCAATTCTTAATAATTTTTATTGGGGCTTTACTTATTAACGACCGATAACTGAATGTGCGGCTATGTCGATCACGCCGATGAATTCGTTATCGTTATTGTCGAACACAATTTTACACACCGCGACGCCGTGCATCTTATTTCCGTTGTTCATTAAATTTGTGACGATTATTATACTTGTACGTTACGTTTTAATACATTTTGAAGGATAGGATGTTCTGCATTCTCTTGCAACAGACAAAGCAAAAACTCTGCATCGGTTTCCAGCCATCAGCTGATCTCATCAACTGCTCCGCTAACCGTATATAAGCTAGGAATCAAGCTTATGCTTGATTTTGATGGTATTTAACAGCCAATCTAGGTGTGTTGCCATGTTTTCTTCGAGGTACTTGGCCTTAGAATGACAGGATCCAGTATGATCCGACAAAAATGAACAACCTCCATGTATTTGCGTTCGAAGCACACCTAGTTTTCTGGAGCTGCGAGCAGTAAGCTAGGCTCCCGTATACAAACTGCATACATAAGAATATTAAAACTCAATGACCCAAATACGAGGATTTTTGGTGAAAAGAACCTGTAACAGAACGTAGCGACGTACCCGCCCGGACCCGTCCAAAAACCGACTGGCACGTGCGCGCGTCGGGCCCCTGCCGCCGCCTCAGCGGCCGACCCTTGGCCCCCGGCAGCTCGGGACACACGCAGTCACGTGACGCCCTCCGGCACCCAGTCAGATGCAGAGCTCGGGAGACAGCGATGGCGAGGGCGCACATCACGCACAATCATACCACAGAACCCCGAAATCTAGGCAGCTCACAAGCCAAGAGACCCCCAGTTTTCTAGCATTTTCGCATTGTACATGTGTGGAGATTGAGTTACCGTGAAGTTTACTGCTTACATTCACTCCGATATGGTGTCGTTAGTTCTGACCTGTGCTTTTGCCCGAATCGCACAGAGCGTTTAATAATGATGTATATATACACGCATATATACATATACATGTATATATATATATATATATATATATATATATATACATATACATATCTATACACATTAATGACGACAGACACATGAAGCTCGCAAAACTCGCACGGTATATGACTGCTGATTAACTCTTCTATATATCTGGCTCTTCATTTCATTTCGGCACCTTAAACACTTCAAATCAGGGCACAAAACACGAGTATGCAAACCAGCAATAAACTTTTCACTGGACAGCACTCACTGTCGTTTTGACTTGGCAACAAAAGGCAATTCTTTAGCTGTGCAGAAGGCATCATTAGCACCACACACTGTAAACAAAACACAATCAACACAGCAAATTACACTGCGTGCCAATCACCCAATACCCGCGCCATTCATAAGCGTCTTGTTCCTTGTCTAATTGATTATTCGTGATGCTGCTACGGAGATAATTCAGTAGTTTGGTTCATTTCATTGCCTAGAAATCGTCTATGGTCATGAATGAGTAGTGCATCCAGAATGTTGAGTTTTACTGTGTTGTGTGTAGATGAAAGAATTGCAGTGTTTTGTGTAGGCGCTCGGCGCGCGGGGAGAGTAATGCGGTCAGGCTGTACGTGATTCCTTGGCGCACACTCCGTGAGGCGCTCTGTGAGACGTCGGAACAAAAATGTTGTAGTTATACCATTGTAGCATGCGGAACCTTGCAGCAACACCTGGCAGCGGTCAACAGACGGGTGGAAATGACCACGTATCGAAGTAGGTACTTCCCAACGCTTTATGAAGTCAATGGGTATGCGTGTAAAAGGTGTCCCCTCGCCGGATGTTTCACTAGTGCAATTTTTAGATCGGTAGTCAGGGCAGATTACGGGAAGGCGCAATGGGAAGACGCAATGGCGTAATCTCTCTTGCCGGCAATGCTGCAACTGCTGAACTCATTCAGAGAATCAACTGGTCAGCCAACTAAATTGCATTGGTAAAACGTTCTGGTCAGCAGCTGAAGTGTATTACGTCCCATGTGGGGTCCCCAGAGGCTTTTAGTCTAGTGATAGCCCCCAGGACCGTACGGAGACTCTCATAAGGATGCATCACAACTGGCCCCCTCCTCGATGCGGCTGGCCCTCTAACTGACACATCCAGCAACGGATCGGCGCAGCGGCCCTCGCTAATGCAAAATGGCTATTTACTGGCACAGGAATTCCAATAGTTGGCATCGAGACACTAATTCGCCTTATCGGTCCCTTGCTGAAATGGTGCAGAGGATCCCTGGTCCGGTTCTGGTGTCCCTGGCTACCGCAGGCCTCTCCACTGTCTCACAGCACATGAGAACCTCCTTTTAACATTTCTTATGAATCCTTTCATTGTCAGGAGGTTCCAGACCAGCACAATAGACCCTTTGATATAAGGGGGCCCATAATCGTCCCTATTCAGCAAATGTGCTCTTGGTCGACCTGGGGCTCATTGCCGACACATGGTCTCCTGCTAGGGACTGTGGCCACTGACTAGCAGAGTGGGTTTTTCATTGTTTCAGGTGTCCCGACGAATGTAGGATGCCCTCTAATTGGCATTTAGATGTCTTGGCCTTGTCTCTGCTCGGGAAATAACCCCTAGGCCCCAGAGTAGCACGGAACGGGCTGTTAGATAAGGCTGTTTTCAGTCAGTTGCCTCAAATAGTCACAGTCGCACCGGTCTCCGATCAGTGCCAGAGACACTCTTACATTTTAGGATCTCGCCTTCGGGCCGTGATCCCTCCATACGATCTCTGGCCTGCCCCTCGAACCCTTTAATCGGGCTCTTGATCTTCAGCCCCAAGGGATCAAAAAAGGACCTTTGGAACCCATGGGACCCATCAAGCCTAAGAGGGAGGTGGGGGTCCTGGTTGATTCGGTTCCCGGTGAAAATAAAGCTTTAGGGGCTTCTTTAAGCGCCCGGGCTGCCTCGTCCTCGTCCTCGTCGGCTTTATTTGGCGGCCGGGCTGCCTCGTCCGCCGGCCCGCCGATGGCGTAGCTGCCGGCCGGACCGTCGAGCTGGGCAGCCTCTGGGCTAGTGCGTGTCCGAGCTCCGTGTCCAACCAATTGCACATTATTATTCCCACATATGTAGTGATTGAGCGGAAGCAATGTTTGCAAATTTGGCGGGCGGCGGTTTGTTTGTCGGGACTGGCTGTAATACCGATTGGGGCTTTACGTCTCACCGGCTGCTATGGTTAGTTCGAGGCGGAACGCCTCTATTACGTATTTATCAGGCATTAGGTAGGTAGGATGCCGTAGTGGTGTGGCCAGGACTCCACCCCAGGATACAAAAGTACAGAGATTAGCACCCTAACCCCTAACCACCATACCACCATCGCTCCTCTGCGGTGCAAACTGCACCCATCTCGACAAACTCCAGACTGGCGTTGCTGGACCCCAAATTCTGTACTTACGAGGTTCTGAAGCGTAAAAGGAAAAAGTGCATCAAGATTGACGAAGTGGATGGCGAATGCAAGCTCACGATTCTCCCAATTCGTTCAGCTTATATATCGCAAACCAGCTCAGTGACACACTCGGCTCCGCTGTTCATATGGTGAACAAACAGTGACTTTAAACGCGGCACGCGTGCAGTGTTTTGCGTAACGTTTGGAAGGCAGTTAAATACATTCGCAGTCAACGTTTGCCTTTTTACTTCCTTTTTACTTTCAACCAGGAGTGCGGTTCCCTATTCAGTTGCATGAGCTTCATACCCCGCCGTAACTTGGGTTGCAGCCTGGAGATTTGTGAAGAAGTGAGCCAAATTCGGAGAAACTTATTTGTTGGCATATTATCACACACTAACGTTGCATTTTAATCGCTCAGCCAACCGGCTTATTTTGGTAAACCACGCCCGCTTAAAACGTACCTGATTGAAGGGATGAATTGTTTGTAGGCTGGGCCATTGAACGTGTCTCACCAGGGAGCAGGACCCGGATTCAGCTGATGAGACAGCCCCACCCGCTCTCTTTGAGAGTAAAGGCATGTAGAATTCCGAGTCAGTCCCGTTTGCAGGAGCGTGTGAAAGAATTTACAATTGGGGGGAGGGACGGAATCAGTCAGATCAAATCACTAAAAATACAGCTCAGCGTGCCAGGAGCTGGAGATCTATATGCACGCCTGCCTGGAGCAGACATCAAATCAGTCCGCCTTATACATCAGTCATCAATTCCTTCAAAAAATGAGAAACATCACCAACACATACAGTAAATAATAGAACCAAATACCGCGGACAACATAATCCATCAGCGACTGCCGAGTAACCAGCTATTCCCGATGCCACGAGCCAGGGATCAGAGTTTTGAATTCTTTAATGCGCCTACTGCCAAGGGCGTGCTGACGCGGCAAGGTTGGTGCGCTCAGACAAAACGTTGTCCATATCCATGCACAGTAGTTTCACTGGGCAGCACTGTACCGCATGACGTCACTCGTCGGCTGAGGGGGAGAAATCGGTTCCGCTAGCCCTCTATCGGGCCTTATCCGAATGATTAGATGAAGGGTTGCGAGGAAGTGGGACAGTATGCCAAACCGTGGATCTCACGCACGCTGGACTTTATGAGCACTGGACTTCATGATTCTCCTCTGTCCAGGAGTCCTGGACGATTTCTGGACGTCATGAACGCTGGACGCTGCGATTCTGGACTTTTTGACCACTGGACTTCACAAACTCTCAACCTTTCAACACGCATCCATACTGGATATATTGAGATGCACACATAACCAGATGATGACTGCCACGGAAGAGTAAATGTCAACATTTTACCCACCAAAAAGGTTCCGAAACGCCACCCATCGCAGGGAGCTTGGTCCAAAGTTCGTGCAGCGGAGTAGGCACTACCGACCTACAGCCCGTGATAGTCGCGTGAAGTGATAATCTCATGTAACGTACTAGCCGCGTGGTGCGCACTACCGACCTACATCCCGCGATAGTCGCGTGACAGTGATAATCTCATGTAAAGTACTGAGTTGGTTAAAACCTTAATGTCCGTGGAACAACGCCGTCTCATGCTGGACGAGTTTACAGTCATCTTCCATCGCTGCTGCCAGCCTGCCCACAGTCATCGTCAGCTAAGCAGGCCGTCTCAGCACGTGTGATAGCGGCGCCTGATAGTATCGTGGTCAGACCGGAATTCAGTAGTGACCAAATAATAGCGCGTCCCGGAACATGTGATACATGGTGGCACCGTCGCAAGGCCCGAATATCTACCGACAACTCGGCAACCTCTGTGCCCGCCGCCTGCCTGACCGCATGCTGACCTGGTCGGATGACGGCGGCGGTTGCTGCGGCTCGTCCAGGGTAATATCAGCGGCGCGGGGCGCGCGGCGCCTCGCCGGCCTCTCCGCCGGCGGCACCGGCGCCGGCTGCGGCGTCATCTCGATACGTCTGCGGCAAGCGAGCGGTGGACGCCATTCAGTCGTGGCGGTCGGGACAGGTCACGGCCGACACCGCCGCCTGCCCCGGGCTCTGCTGCACCGAGCGGTCGGTGGTTGACGCTGAGTCCTCGGCTAGCAGGCCGAGAAACTCATTTTGTACACGAGGATATCGTAGAGAAGCTGTTGGTCAGCACCACCTCAAACTATACGCTGCCAGTGTAAATGAAGTTAGGAAGAAGTCCCACAAATGTTGTCTTATTCACGATTGCCTCATTTGGGTGCATGAATGTTCAGGATCTACAAAGTAAGCCGAGCACTGACGCCTGCCGAGAAGCCGTCGTCTCGGCCGCCAGCTCTGTCGTCTGGCCGGCCTGCTCGGTCGGAGGCGTTGCCGCCTGTCCGGCCGCTGCCGGCGCGTCTCCAGCCGGCGGCGGTGGCGGCGGCGGCATGACGTCTCCAGCCGGCGGCGGTATGGTGCCACCCTCGGGCGGTGGCAGCACGTGTGCCGCTGCCGACGCCGAGACGCCGTGCGCCGTCGGCTCAGCCAGCTCGTCGCCCAGCAGCAGAGAGCCGTCCCCCAGCTGCAAGTGCCGCCCGGCCGCTGCGGCGCCGCCGTCCCAGCCTGCCAGCACGCCGCCCATGTATGGACCGCAACACCAGCCACGCCCATGCAATGGACCAGTTCGAAACGTTATTGGGGTACCAAACCATTTGAAAGATGTTTCGCGCCCCGCGCCCCGTTTATTTGTTATCCGGATAATGCGTACACCCGACGCCTTCACGTCAGACTGCTGATGGCTGGTTATGGAGGGAAATAAATCTGAAATGTAATGTAAAATAGATAATGACCCACAGGATTAAAAAAGGGAACTTAGGGAGATCAGTGAGAGGACAACACACAGCTGGTAGTTCGTCTCGTCGTCAGCCAATCCCGTTTGAACCAAGGCAGGGGCTGCAGGTTCAGCGCCCGGCTGCAGCCGCAGTTATACGGAATGTCGGCCCATGCTTGGTGGTGAGCCTCAAACCGACCACTATTTTGCAGCAGAACAATCCTGTACTCTCCCTTCGGCCGGAAGCGCGGCTGGCGCCGGCGCCGTCTCCGGCGGCCGTACCACGTGAGCTGGTGTCCAGCACTAGACGCCACTCCGGCTCGGAGGTCTTCACGGGCGCCGCCAGTGCGCCGGTGCCGGCCGCAGCCCGCTCGCCGGCGGGCCGGGCTGGTGTCGACCGCAGCGGCGACAGGACCGGCACGGCGGCCGGCGGCGGCGGCGGTGGCCCGTCCGCCGGGGGAACGCCACGACCCGGCACCGGCGCCGGCGCTAGCTCCAACTCCAGCTCCAGCTCCAGCAGCGGGTCCGCGAACGGCTGCTGCAGCGGGCGCTGGTGCGGCGGCAGCACATCTCCAAAGTCCTGCGGCAGACCGCGCTGCCACGGTGGTGCACACGCTCCGGATGGCCAGACGGGAGACAGCGGGTGGCTGACCCACACACCCACTACATGCCGGGAGGAGAAGGCAGGAGACCGACCCACACACCCACCACATGGCGGGAGGAGACGGCAGGAGACCGACCCATACGCCCACCACATGCCAGGCAAGAAACGGCAGGAGACCGACCCACACGCCCACCACATGCCGGGCGGGAGACGGCAGGAGACCAACCCACACACCCACCACATGCCGGGGAGGAGACGGTAGGAGACCGACCACACACCCACCACATGCCGGGGAGGAGACGGCAGGAGACCCACCCACACACCCACATGCCAGGGCCGTGTTCCCCACTGCCAATCGCCGTCCACAAGTTGCAGCCGGTAACGTCATTGGTAAGTGCGTCACAACAGTTCCCACGGTTTAGACTATAGTCTCTGTTGTGCCATCATCAGCATGGTTTTATTTCCACGTGTTCGTTCAGCACGAACTTGTGTTTGCCTCAAGTCGGTATGGGAAGCCACGTAGGACGGGTAACAGACGGATGTCATTCGCACTGATTATTCGGCTGCTTTTCAGAACGCTAACACGCGCCCGGGTGGCCGGCTAGATACCCTTCGCTCGGGTGGGGGTCAATTTGACCCCTCCTGAGATATCGGGAACTAAGCAAGCTAGAGACACCAAATTTACAGGTTATCTCGACCTGTACGTGAACTCACTTAGGTCAAAGCTTGAGCTTCCTAGGCCATGACTTTTAGGTCAAATGAGGTCAAACAGGGTCAAATTCCACGTTGGTCTTCAAAGTGCCCCCAGAACCTAGGAAACCGTTTCTAAGCAAAAGGTCAAAAGCCCATTTAAGGTCAGTGGCCTTGCTTGACCTTCCAAATGTCATGGTGACCAAAATCATACAAGACTGTTCTGAGTTTTGCATCTGAATAAGCGGCAAAGATTATGCTAGGCAGTCTGCTCCTAAAACAAATGTCGCCCTGGGTCATCTTAGGTCAATAAACTTTTCTTACCTCTAAGAAGTCAATGAAAGATGCATACTGCGGTTTCTGCCGTCAGTAAATTCGAAATGAACACCACAAACTATCTCACAGAGCAAGCACTAGAGTAATAAATCAGTTTGGTTTTGACCTTGGTCTGACCTTCATATCTGACCATAGGTTCACGTAATTTGCTCATTCAATATTTATGGTGCCTACAAAGCGTCTCAGAGATGTATGGCTTCGTCAAACACTTCCTTATTGTATCAGATTGGACGACTCCCTAGAAATTGCCTTCGCTGAAACCATGACCTGACTTTGACCTGCCATAGGTCAGTGACCTTACAACGTACATTTAAATTTTGTATGTCCAACAATCCGCTATTCAATTTTCTACGGCTATGAAAAATTTGGCGTAGCTTTACCGCGCCGTTCGGAAACCATTCTAGAAAGCCTTTGGGGGGTCAATTTGACCCCCACCCGAGCGCGTGTTAACCATGAGCTTTTAATCCACACGCTAGACCATTCATACCATTCCAGGATATCTACAGAATGGTTCGTCTCGCATCTATCCGACTGACGTCAGAGAGTTATCGTGGACGGAAAAAAAAAACTTTCGATTGGAAACTGGTGACCTCCGGCGTCTCGCAAGGATCACTCTAGGACCATCCTTTTTCAAATTCAACCGAAGCGTAGTGATGGCTGCGTATTTTTAAACCGTGCGATCGGTTTTAGAATATTGTAGCGTGGTCTAGACGGGGGCGGCCGATTCCCACACGGTGCGGGTCAATCGAGTGCAGCACACGCTTCTTACCTGGTTACTCACGCAAACTCCGTGCAAACAGCTTCTTTCTTATGGCAGCGTTCCGCTTAATTTCAAAATCCAATCCCTAGCAGGACGAAGAGTGAACTAACTCCTTCTGACAAATATCTTCCAAGGCAAACTGAACTCCAAAATCTCACTCAGCTATTTCCCCTTGCTCGTGCCGCCCCAATCGACCCGTACCCGATTCATGTTCACTGCACCGCGCGCTTTTGTGCAGACAGTACGGAGCGGTCTGTTTCGCAGACGACCGAGCGTTGTGAACATATATGCCGCATCTTCACTTTACTTTGAGATGTTTCATCCTTCAGTAATGTTCATACTACTCTTTGTTGTGTATTTATTGCACCTTATTCAAACGACTTGGTCTGTTAGAGGAGCGCTGCTCTGTTGGCGATAAATGAACATACATTACTCAATAAATAGTCGCTTGTTTACGACCTAGGCACTCACAACGTCAAAAGTGGCAACTAAAGCCAGTACTTCGCTGATCGAACGTCAAAGGTGGCCACTCAAGCCAGTACTTCGCTGATCGGACGTCAAGGGTGGCCAATCAAGCCAGTACTTCGCTGATCGGACGTCAAAGGTGGCCACTCAAGCCAGTACTTCGCTGATCGGCATACGGCCCTGGCGAAACACGCATACCGTACGCCTAGTACGGCGATAACAGACAAACTTCTCGAGCGTCGCAGTCATAGGTAAACCAATGCGCGCGCGCCCAGTTTTTTTGTGTGAAAAGTACAGACATGACAAAACCCTTGCATGAACGCGCCACCACAATACCCGCCCCATACGACTGCGGCGACAGGCCCTGCTTCGACCGACCGGTGGCGCCGGCTGCACCGATCGCGGCGTCTGACCTCGAGGAAGGGCGGCGGCCCGGCTGGCCGCTGCTCCTCCCGCAGCGTGATCTCGCTCGGCACCGCTACGTTGCCGTTCAGCTCGGGCCGGTGGTGGCTGGCCGGCTCGTCCTCCTGCTCCGCTGTAACAGGCGCCACGCGTCGCTTGGGTCCGTATCGTCACGCGCCGCTTGTGTCCGTATCATCACGCGCCGTTTGGGCCCGTATCGTCACGCCCGGTCACCACACAGACAGCGCCAGCCCGTCACCAAACGCGAAGCGTGATCGCACTGTTTTAAACATGTGCTGAAGTCAGGCAAACAGGTACGGGGTCTTCTATGTGAGGAGGGGGGGGGGGGGGGGACATTTGTAAACGTCTTCGGATTCGGAGTGTTAAACAAATCCGCAATGCAACGCCAAGCATTTTGACTAAATACTGGGGCAGATTGCATCTCCATTTTCACACTTGGGTTGGGAATTGGGTTCGGGTTGGGGTTCGGATTCGGTTCGGGGGCTCGGGTCGGGAAACGAGGACAGGTGGGTGCCCTGCTCTTCAGCAGTGATGTTTGTCAACAGGATATTTACGCACGACACCCAGGTATGGACGGATACAACACACGTCAGGCTGCACGAGACCGGTGACGGCACCGGTGGGAGGCGGCCACCTTCACATCTAAACGCCAGAGGTTCCACGCTGGCACGGCGGACAGAGTTTTCCACCTGCGCGTCGCGCGAAGACGAGCCCGACCATGACTCACCGGCTGCGGTCGGGATGTTCGGCATGGTGCCAATGTCGTACAGCGAGCCCAGCTGGAACGGGTCGCCGGGCGGCACCAGCTCCAGCGGGTCCACCGCCAGCGTCACCTTCCGGTAGCTGGCCCTGTCACCGATGGTCGCAGCGCCCAGCGTCACACTTTCACCGTCCGGCTCTGCACGCCCGTACGAGGGACCAAGGCTTGAACTTTTGTCTTTAGTAGAATTTTGAGCGCTTTAAACAATGAACGTTTCAAGTTCTGATCGTTTTTTTTTTCTCCAAACAGACGGGACGGCACGGAACGTATGTATTACGGAGTGCATGTATTACGGAACGTAATACATGCCATCCACCTTTATAAGCATTCATTGCTGGAGTGAGGCATTCACTGACATGACGGTCTTTGCTTCATTAAGGTAACAGAAGCGCTTTGCTTACGGCTCGTTCTCCAGTGAACCTGTGTATGGTGTCTTCATCAGCTTTTCAAATGCCGCCGCTACATCAACTGCAAAGAGATGCAGCATTTCACATTTTCTGCGCAGTCTGCTGCTTTCACTCAGTCTGCACCCCGATGCCAGCCAATCGAGCAAGTGTGTATACATTCAGTGCCATGTCTATGCCCTGCATGCAAAAGTGACGCATGTGCTAACCCCTGGTTCAATCTTTGTCAAACGTCACATGATGTCGAACCGAATCTCTCTGTGAATGTCTCAAGTGTCAGTGCAGCTTGAACGAACACCTTTATCGTCTGGGTTCTCCCTGCATTACCGCCCTGCCATACGTCAGATGCCCTCGCGGCTAAATGCGCCTCCACACTTCATTTTACCGTGGGATTACGCCGCGCCGTGATATGGGTTGTGTCCAGCGCATGCGTAACGCACTGCAGCACGACGGATACAATGTTTCGCTGCACGTGCAGGCGTGGACGCCGGCAGCGCTGATGCCACAGCTGGAGCGTGGCTGGACGCGGTGTGCCTAGGGGGAGCCGCGCCTGCCGCGATGTGCCCAGCTCACGCTTCACTCCCGGCCGTGCGACAGGTCTGCCCGGTGTGCCTGTTGCCGGGCTGTGACGGGGCTCGTGTGACCCGTGGCGAAGGCCGGCGAACGGGCAGGGCCGCGCCGCGCTCTTCCGCCCCGTCACCGACCGACAAAGCTGCGCGAGGCCCTCACGGCCCGGCGCGTTAAGCGAACACAGCCCAACGTTCTGCAGAGACGGCGATACGTGGCGTACCGGGGCTGATGCAGCGAACTGCGCAAGGACAAGGACGGCTACTGTGGACACTCGCATGTCTATTGGCCCTTTTCATTTGCCAGCACGCTTGACCAAAGGCGTGCTAAACATAATCGCATACAACTGTGGATGTTCACAGTTCTGGTGGTGCAAAGCTTTACAACATGCAAGGTCATTACTAGACAGAAGTGAAAAGTTGCACGAAGAATGACCTATCGCCGAAGCGTGTGGAAACTTTTCAGATGAGCTTCAGAAGCAGCCAATGATAGTTCAGATCTCAATTCGCCTCAAAGTGGTATTATTGGTTGCAGCCTACTTGGCATATTAACTCAAACTTCCATTGGTCGACAAGTTCTACGCAACTTCTGGCTGTTTGTACATGCCTACAGGACGCAAGTTTTGCAAAAACCGTACCTTCATACAGACGGCTATGCCCAACCCCAACAGCATCAAACTCCCTCCATCATTTGACAGTCGGCAGAGCACTAACATATTTACCGCTGGGATCTCACGCCACCTGCCCGTACTGTCGAGGCATGGCACGGTATGTGTACGCACACTTGGCATGTGTGTACCGTGCGGCGCAGCGGGGCTCCGCACCACTCACAGAGCAAGACGCCCGTCTGGTGACGGTGCACCCGGACCGAGCCGGCCATCAACATGCTGGAGAGGTAGAGGGAGAGGCGGGGCCGCGCCTGGTCACCGCCGCACGCCGGGATCCGTACGCAGATGTAGCGCAGGATGTCCTCACTGGAATATAGGCGCGGGCGGCTGGGAGGAGACGGCCCATCAGCCGGCGCGCCATAGAGTGTCGATGGGACATGGCGTCGGTGCCCGCGGCACCGGAAAATGGGATGCCTCGGTGCGGCATTCGGTACCGGGGCAGACAAACGCACTCTCCAGGTCAATCAACAGAGTGGACTCGGCCAACAGAGGTCGGCGCCGCGCCGGACCCGACTGGGAGACCGGGGGGGGGGGGGGGGGGGGGGGGCAGGAATTGACCGACACAGTGCTGGAAAGGTGACCTACCGTTAGGCATTCACAATCGGACAAAATGACTCCCACCTCCTTTGCGGTAACATCTTTCACTGCTATTGGTGTCGCATGCTTTATGATGCTGACTCGATAACTGCTGTGTAATCACATATTTGTACGAACTTGCTCCAGGGCGTTGTACGAATCTGCAAGTGCTTCGAGCAGATTTTACCACCTTGAGAAGCTTGGGCATTGCGATTCTCTTAATTTGTGAACTCATCTCCGATTTTTCAATATTTTCGTCCACACCCCTACACCTCCACCACCACCACCAATACCACCTACACCACCAAACTCCTTGCACGAAGCAGAAGGCTCGGGGCAGAGCTGGGACCAGTCTATGTGTCCGGGCCGGACTGGAATTAACGTGATCCAAGTCAACTGGCGCCACAGCAAGCGTGCTCTCACTTATGTTTCAGGGTAAAAATCAAAAGTAAGGTGACAAGTGTTTTGGAAAGAGTGCAGGCAGAAACGGAACACACCACACGGCCTTTCCGCATTTGCTGTACTTCCGGCCTGATGGATTTCAATGGTGAACGGTTTTTGAACCATGCGGGCAGACTGTCAACAGGAGAAGCACAGATCAAGGCGGGTGCCTTCTCAGAATGCAAAGCCACGCACAAGCAGCGAGAGCGGTGCGTGCGGGTTCAAAACGCTGAACTACTTACCAGACCTGGGGTACGTCAAGAGACATCACATCCCGAAAGTTCTTGTCGGTTCTGCGGCGATACTCCAGTCTGTCATTGGCTATAAGCCATATCAGGGAAAACTTGCCATTTCTTCTGTTCAGCAAGGAGTAGTCGAAAAACATGGCTGAAGCTTCAGGAAAGGTTATCTGTGTACACAGATAACGTCATCAGCAATTCGTCACAGAAACAGCGTCTTCTTGAGAGAAATATAGACGTGTTCCTAAAAACAAGAAGTGCTTCTTTTAAAGCGTTTAATACGTAAGCAGAATTGGGCCACCTACCCCCACCCACTTTTATTTAGATGGCATTACCATACAATTGATAACTGAGGCAGCCCAATCACCGGTATTTGGCAGTTTGCCTCGTTGTCGAACCACGCTGCGTGCACGGGACAGCGAGCAGCTGCGGTCTATGCACACGATGCCTGCGACCCATATGACATTATTTGGACTGTCTCATGCTGGGTTGAGTTGCACGCACTGACAGACGGGCTCCCATTAGTGCGTGATTCGCCGTGCAAAAGGTAAACGATACCGTTTTCTCTGCTGTTGTAATATGCTGTTTTAGCTGATAATTCCAATTTCACCGTTACATAACTGTTCGAAACTCTCTCAGATAAGCAGTAGTGGATATTGACGCATGTGACACGTCATATCAGCTCAGATGGGTGAAGGCTAAGCCGCGTCAATATCAGGAATATCGTTAGAGTATATGTGGCAATAAGTTGCAAGTCGTATGACCTCAAACTGATAAAATTCGATCGCAAATACCGACGCATCTGTTGCTTGGGAGCTAAATGGCGCCGACATCAGTAACAGAAACACGTCATTGATTACAAACCATCCGGGTCAGAAACTTTAAAATTCGGAGCATGAGTAAAAATAACGCGAACTCAGGAAACCAAAATTGTCACCATACTCAAACCCCTCAAAAGCTATTCTTCACAGAGCTAAGGGAAAGTTCTCTGAGGCCCCCTCGAAGGACGAAACAGCACGCCCGTCCTTGCTTCGCAACTCCTGCCCAATGAGGAACCAAACGGAGGCTACCTTGTTACATGAGTGTGGGAGTTCGTCCCGAATCCACGGAGGAGGGGATTAAAGACGCTAGGAGTGGTTTATTTCCATACACAGCCGTATACCTATTGCCTAGCGCTAATTTTCCCATGATTAGGAAGGGCTTTAGAGTCCTAAGCCCCCCCCCCCACACACATACACTATACGCGTTTCCAAGCATATGCCCTTTTGGGACGGATAACGGGCCCCAGTGCGCTTCAGACTCCCAGGAGTCTACAGAACGGTTCAGCCTAGGAACACCGCATGTCACCGCCGCTACTCCCAAGACGGAATAGCGAATATCACATCGTGACCGTGCATGGCCAGACATACGTAACGTAATCTGAGATAACTGAGAGCCTGTGATGAGTTCGATGAGTTTCCCTGTTCCGCGAAGGTGAGACAATCTCCCACCAGGCAATGCTCCATAGCGTGTATCGAATTTAACACCGCTGAGCTTAATAACAGCTCACGCAAGCGAAGGCGACCGATTTGTATTGCGGGGACGCAGTGGTCAAACCCCCGCCATGAGTAACCGCGCGGGCCAACCGCGCCAGGAACACCAGGTTTGTATCGTCCAAGCTTATCATTCGGATTGACAAAACACAGGCGGTGACACATACCTGCGCGATGAATTGTTGTCTATTGGCTTTTCAACAGTCGCAACCACCTTTTTATTGCCGCGCTGGACCTCGACGGACAACCCGCCCAACGGCCCCGGCGACCAACTACCGCACCAAATAACGCGTATGGACCGCGCGCTATTCGTAACAATATATATTTTCTGCTATTATCAAGAACTTTTTTAAAAACTACGACGCGTTACATCAAGGTCCTATAGGGAAATATTGAGCAACAGCGACCGGTTTTTGTTGCATGTAGTATGCAGAACTAATTTACGATGTTTGATTCCTCGCCAAGTTCTGTAGAAGATACGTGACATATGAACGATGTACTTTGCTAGCGAAAACTGCGAAATCCATTTTTTCATTCATGGGCCATAGGTCGTGATGGACAACATTGCAAATTTCTTCAACTCACTTTCTGCTTTTTCACTTTTCACCAAAACAAGTGGTCGAACATCGGAATTATACAGAATTTAACCACCTTTCGGGTCATGTATAGGTATTACAGATCATGGCAACCCATTTGGCGATTAACGCATCACGGACAAGGAGAAAGGTGAGGTGGTTATGAGTAGTCGAAACAAGGCCGCGCCCCTCAAATTTTACCATAGGCGTAGGAACGTTTAAAAAAGTGTGTGTGGGGGGGGGGGGGCAGGCTCAGGGCATGCTGCATTTTCTAGGAAGCAAGCCTGGTGGCCTGGTGGAGGAGGGGGTAGAGACGGAGACTATAGTCCGCTCTTAATTCACATGACATACTTTGGAAATAGTTAATATCATTGCTGGCTAGATATACATCTACAGCTGTTTTGCACTGGTGCACAATCTTCACTATTCGACTCATCTATGTCATTTGGCAAAGAAGGCTGCCCAGCTTCCCATGTTTATTCGTGCATTTCAACAGTTTACCCTGGGGACGCGAGATTCCATTAGCGTGTAGGCATTTTGCGTCAATGAGGAAGGCATCAACACCCGGAGGTAGATGCCAAAATACGACCTCGACATAGGCTGGTCGGCATTTTGAATGCGAATCGAGTACCCATAGTGCGTCTGAATTTTCATGCGCCTAGATCTCGCTGATACTTTGATGGAGATAAATGTCGCAGCATAGTAGGCGGAAAAAATTCGAAAGCTTCAAATACTAACCGGCAAAAACAGGTTGAAAGCCATAAAACTGGAGTTTTCCCTTAATGAACCAAGTCACAGAATGAAAGCTCTTGTCATGTTTTCCTTATTTGAAGCCTGGTCTCATATGTCATCGAGTCATTTCTCTGGCCTGGCTGTCCACCCCCCACCCCCTCCCCTCTTCAGGACCGATTGCAATCTTATGGTAAGGCCGCTCTGCTGCATATTTATTGATCACTATTACCACATGTTGGTGTGTAAGACATATATTGGACACTTACAGCAGTGTCTTTTTCCGAATGATCTTCCCTTATACCACACCACCGCAGAAAAGCTGTCGGGAAGCCGCCTGCCTTGGACATGCATTGGTCCAACGAACATTCAATCGCCCCTCATTCTACGTAGCCGGCCTGAGCTACTCTTATATGCAGGCGGGGGCGCAGCTAGAGCCCTGCCAAGGGGGTACAGGGTTAACAAGAGCTTCCCTGATGGTGAACGCCCGAAAATTATCGCCAGACATAGCTTATTTGTCAACAAGGGACAAAACATATTCGTTTAACTGTTACTTCTACCTTATAACCAGAACAAAAACAGAAACTGGGAGCTACCGCGGGATCTATTGTTTGTATCTTTAGGTCAATAAGCTGCAGAAACCAGGCGTTGAACAACTGCGCGGGAGAAATCGCCAGAGCTCTAAATCTAAAACGGCTCGGTGGACTCTTTCTAAACCGACAAAATTCATAAGCTTCGTCAAATATTTTACGTGGGTTTCACAGCCATAACAAGGACCCCGCATAGGTATCTCGTAAAAAGAAATGTGTAAACAAAAGGTGCATGAACGTGGCCAACCCATTTTTGTGCGAAAACGTTGATGAAATGATGAAAATGAAAATAAAAAAATGAAAGCATTCAGTCAGAATCGATTTAGCGATGCAAATTATGTAGCGTAGCTTTGAACATGCGCGCTCGCAAACCTTAGCAACAAGACTCAACGTCAGGTGCTGCAGTCTCCGTAGGCTGCGCAGCGTTGATCCAGCGGCCAATTCTGAACTGTAGTCAACGGGTGTACGAAAATGATCATATATCAGAAAGGAGTATCTTTGAACACTTTGATCAATTAGTGCTTCAACTCGTGTACCATAGTCGTGTACCACGTGTACTGTACGCGTGCACGCAGATTTCAGCAGCAGCAGCCTCGACGCTCCGCATTGAGGTTCCCACAGGCCGCGCGGCGCCGGCCCCGCGGCTGGAGCCAGGCTATGGCCAAAAGGCAAAAGAAAAACATGACGCATCTCCAGGAAGATGGCTTATGAACTAGGTGAAACGGCATGCAAGCTTATGGTAGTACAAAAGTAAGATAAACGTAACTTAAATTTGAAAGTGGGGTGGGGGCAGCTAACATTGCCCCCCCCCCCCCCTCCTCCTTGCAAAGCGTGGGGAGACGACTGGTCCCCTGATCCCCTGTTCCTACACCCATGAGTCGCAATCATAATCCTCGTGCCTCTGTTCTATCAACACGCACGAATATTTGCCGACGTTGAAACGTCGCGTTCGACAACATTTGTATTGGGTCATATGAAAAACGGCAGAGAACACTCGTAGCGTTTTGACACATCACACAAGCAATACACCTCGCATCGCAACGGCCAGCAACTGCCAAGATTCCGCGCAGGCTTCAGGACACCGTCTTGCTGAGGTTGCTGAAGCCGGCTCCGAGGCAGGTGAGCGTCAGCTTCTCTCCTCCCAACTTCAGGTCCTCCTCCTCTTCAGTCGGCAGCACGTTCTCTATCCGGAACGTCGTGAGGAACGCGTCCCGCACATGACGAAGAAACTCAATACTGAAAAGATGCGACGTCCGTAAAAGCGCATTACGAAAGCGTTTTCAGTTGCGTGCTACCATTTGGACTCGACCGCCCATGACTAGCGTGCCATTTAATAGCAGATTACGCTGGGCTTAATTTATCACGTGGATGGCGGTTGACTGAAAAGAGTTCTTGGATGGCTCTTTCCCAGAGCTGATAACGTCGGGAGATTTCCAGTACTGCCTCGGAGACACAAAACGACAATACATGTGCAATATCACAGAGCGCAGTAACCATTTTCTAATGCCGCCAACTTGGTGACCAGCACTCACACAAATCAAGCAAAAACAAAAACAAAACAAAAAATACGACCAATGATTTTCTGTTGCCATTCATGTTGCGACGCACCACACATGCATAATTCTCTCAATTTCAGACACACACTAGATGTACGCGAGAGGGCACGCAATAACGGCGATGAGTCCGCTCGGCACTACCTGATCATTGCACTTTCTTTTGCGGAAGGGAGAGGGGCCGAGGGTGGCGCGACGTTCACACGGCCTCTATATCCGTGTTGTGACAGGTTGTTTCGCAATATCTCGGGACTTACACAAATCACTTAACACAATATAGAGTAACATCACGTTTACTTACGTGTATGGTGTGAGCTGACCCAGTTTGACCTTTGAAATGTCCTTCTGGCCAAGGCACATGTAGAGTAGCATGGTACTTTGCGCTAAGGAGTCTACGCAACCTCCCCTGGAATCAGAATATTCGACCAATAGTAGCGAGCGTACTGCCGTACCAACCACGGTCAGGCGGACACCAAAACCTAAAACCCACGACCTACACCCAGGAGCCACCTTAGTAGCAACGACGAGAGGGACCTGAACAGATGCGACCAGAGCGATAATATAGTTTAGTCACAAGAAACTCGTACATAACAACTCCAAAAAAACCAAACCTCGCAGTTAAATCGCAAGACATTCGTGTAGACCAATCGCGACAAACAAAACATTTCAATGTGAAACATCTCATCTTGCATTACAGCATTCCAGTTCTCTGCAATGGAGGATCTGCATGTTTGACTATATCACGCGACATCATGTCAGAATATGGTGCGCTGTAGGTAGTTCGGCCCTGTTCGGCCGTACCTGTAGATCTCGTCGAGCAGCCGCTCGGCGGCCTCTGTGCCCAGCGCTTCGGGCACGCTGGGCGGCCCGTCCGAGCCCTGCGGCCGTGACGTCACGTCTGACGTCAGCGTGCAGCCAGTAGTCGTCTCGGCCACCAGGCTGATGCCGAAGCCGGGCGACTTGCCGGCGGCGTCGCCCTTGTAGTGGTCCGTGTAGATGTAGACGTCGGGCAGGAGGCGGAGCAGCACCGCCTTGGCCGCGTCTACCATGCGGCCGGCCATGGCGGGTGAGACGCGCGCCGCGTGCGCCACGCCGCGGATCCGCTTCACCTTGCCAGCGTCTAGCCACTGCCGCACACGGCCACGGTGAGACATGGTCAGGTGGGGACACGGTCCGACACGGTCAGACACGTCCAAACAGGGACATGGCCCGTCATGGCCAGGCAGGGACACAGTCGGACACGACCAGACAGGGAAACGGTCCAGCAAAGCCAGACAGGGACACGACCAGGCAGGGACACGGCCAGACAGGGACACAGTCCGACACAGCCAGACAGGGACACCGGCCGACACGTTCGAACGGGGACACGGTCCGACACCGCCAGAAAGGAACACGGCCCGACACCGCCAGACAGGGACACAGCCAGACAGGGGCACGGTCAGACAGGGACGCGGCCAGACAGGGGCACCGTCAGACAGGGGCACCGTCAGACAGAGACACCGTCAGTCAGGGCCACGGTCCGGCACGGCCCCGGTCAGGCGTGGGGACGGACACACATGGACAGCCACTGAGCCGATGTGCGTTTAGCTGACAGCATGCGAGGCGAAGGCAGGTGGCGCCACATGTCGCGTGTCAGCGGCTCGCTGTGTCTACGGCGCGGCCTCCGTGGCAGCTGACCTGAGTGGCGCGCAGCGTTCTCTGGACGGGGCAGCTGAAGAGGACCTGGCCGCCGCCGCCGGGCGCCATGCCACGCCGCACGATCTTCAGCTGCAGCTGCTCGTCGGCCAGCAGCAGGTAGCAGGCGCAACACCGG